ATAACTTCTAACTTCTGTTGATCTATCTTCAAGTTTGCTGAGTCTTTCATCTGTCATCTCAAATCTGCTATTGAACCCCTCCAGAGAATTTATCATTTGGGTTAATTTATTTTTCAAATGAAAAATTTCCATTTGGATCTTTTTCTATAATTTTATTTCGATGCTGTTTTGTATTTGATGAGTCATTGTTATCATAATGGCCTTTAATTCATTAATCATTGTTTCTTTTTGTTCTTTGAACATATTTATAACAGCTGCTTTGAAGTCTTTGCGAATTCCAAATTCTGAACCCATAAAGATAGTTCCTACTGACTGCTTTCCACCACCCTGATTTTAAACCATAATTTTAAGGTTTTTTGAATGTCCTGTAATTTTTTTAAACTAGGCACTGTAGATGATATATTATAGCAATTCTAGATTTCTATCTATTTCTTAGCCATTTAGTAACTTGTCTTGACTAAAATTAAGGAACCTGTCTCTCCCTTGGTGTAGGGCACTGATCTCTCTGCCCAGTTTTTAACAACCTCGGTTTTAATTTTAAAGTCTGGCTTCCCAGAGGTTGCCCCCTGTGTCCGCAAAGCTTGGTGAGGAGCAGAGGGTGTTACTGAATATCTTGAATCAGTGAGGCTTTTATATTTTTCCGATGCATCGTGTGTGTGTTTGGGAAATGTAAGCAACATCCAGGCAGTTTGCAATTGTGCCTCAGCTTTCACAGTTGGCCCTTTCCCTTATTTTCTGCCTATACACGTGGCCTCATGTTCACATAGGGGTATGTAGATGGCTAGGGACCCTCTCTGCTAGGTACTCCTGTTATTGTGTGTAGTCTTGAGCCAGGAAAATATGGAAGCTTATCAAGCCACATCTCCCTCTTACATTTACGGCTGATCCTCAGCCCAGAGTATGCTTCAATCAGGGCGACAACCTCGGGCTTAGCTATGCCTTTTGACTTCCTCATTCGTCTTTTTCCAAGATCACTAGTGTTTCTGACAATTCTCCTGAGGGTGGACTTTCTCCGTGATTTTCTCCATTTAGATGAGCCTCTTCTGGCAGCAAAGCGGCTGCTTTTCACAGCTCGCCCCACTCTGGAAGGCCCAGTGCAGCGGCAGAGCTGGGAGGGGTGGGCGGAGGGGAGAGCGGGAGAGCCTTAGTAAAGATCGCCCCACCTCCCCCCGTCCTACCGGAGTTCAGGACGTTTTCAAGAATAAATAAATACTTCTCCATTTTCTGTATCCCCTCGTTCAATTTTCAGAGCTTGGAAGTTGTGTTTTTTGGACATTTGATCCATTTTTATTACTTTGGGGGGCAGGGACGAGGACTCACGAAGCTCCTCGCTCCCCCACTCTGGAGGTGCTGCCTTTCTGCCACCTCATTACGTGAGGCACGCGGCCTTTATGCCTTATTAAATCCCCCCGCAGCTGGGTAGGACGGACACGATGACCTGTACTCTACAACAGGAAACTGGAGACTGAGAGGAGGGTGACTTGCTCAGGGGCACACAGGTGGTTAACGGCGATCTGAACGGGATGCCAGAGTTGGGCAGTGGAGAAAAGCCCTGGAGCTGACTCCTTGATTCTGCATTCTCCACCATCGGTTTCTGGAAGCGAGAGTTTTGCCCAGTCACTTCATTGCACCTGGGCCTCACTTTCTCACTCTTGTAAATGGGAATGAACTAGTATCAGCTGGTGAGGATGGGAAACACAGTACTACCTGCAAAGCAGTTAAAGCACAGCGCAGACTGGAAGTTAGGCTGAAGACTGGTTTTATGGAGCAAAGTGGCCAATATTTTACTCACAAAAAAAGCCGCACGGCATTTCACAGTGAGAGGGACAAGCTTCAATTGCCCGGACAATTCTGATGCACGCAAGAGCTGCTTCCGTGAAGACACGGGGCGAGGAGACATTTCCCACAGTCGCTTGGATTCTTGCCGTGTCTTTTCCCACCAACTCTAAACAAATGGCAATTATGTCATATGATTCAATCTAATAGTAACATTAATAAGTGTAACAGTGATAGCAATTAAGTGCAAAGTCATTTGCAAAGTCCTTCTCGTCTAATCTCAATTAATGCTCCCAATTGCTGTATGAAGCAGGCTGGACATATTCTCCCCACTTCACAGGGGAGCAAGAAGATCACAAGCATAATTTAGTGCCTAAACTCACCCACTCACCCCACCATTTCCACTTAAGATTTCTTTTCTGTAAAATAAGGTCAATAGAACCGAGTATCTACGTTGGAGCCAGTAGTCTCGGCTACATAGACATCTAAAGGTTCTAAAAAAATGTGGAGGTGGAGAGGGTCCTCAGTTACTGCGGTGGTTGACTGTGCTCATGACTTGGGAGCACTCAGGGTGCATCTAAGAAATGGAAGCTTTCTGCCACGTTCCGCGCCCTCTTTACCAGGTTTTAGCCAAAACAGAGGTGACTATGGGGGTGGAAATCTCCTGATGTTTATTGAGTGCTTATTATGTGTCAGGTACTATAAAACCCTCCACAAGTGTTATTCTTTTCCCATCTTTCTGAAAGGAGTCTGAGGTTCAGAATAAAGTACTTGCCCGAGGTCGCATAGTTTATGAGTGACAAAACCAAGATCTGAACCCAGGTAGCCCTAACTCCAGATCCTGATATTCACCCCCCCCCAAAAAAAAACCTAAACTAGTTTTTACCTCTGAAATAGATTTAGAAAAGTATCATTGGCTTTATATTTTATTTTTTAAAAAATATATCCATCTAATTTTCAGCCAATTTTTTGTTGTGTTTTCTTGTCCTGCAGAGAGAGAAACGATGTTATATTTTGGATGGACCATTTTTATGCCCTTCCTGCACCTACAGCTTCCTTGGAACATTTTTGGTTAAAATGCAATGAGTGAAACCATGGAAATTTTGGAAGGGCATCCTGGAATGTTCTTCCAGTCTAGGAGGTTGGAAGATAAGGCTTATTTCCTGATTGCAGTTTGGGACTAGACTTTTAATTAAGCAATCTTTTTAGGGGGAATCTTACGAAGTTCTCTGTGATGCCAATGACCTATGGAATTGAAACTCGTCTACTAAGTTATTCCAGTCTCATCACACCTTTTGCTTCTTAAGCATGGCAATTACTTTTCTGACAGATTATCCTGAAAATAGACTGTCTTATTTTCAGTGAATGGAAGACCAATGAGGGGTGGCGTGAGGGTGGAGTGGGAGGGAGATTGGTAGTCACAGAGGAAGCAGACGTGACCTGTGTTTGAGGGCGTGGATCTCCGGAAGGGTTGTTTCAAAGCCTGCATGATTATCTGTCAGGAAGATTCCGTTAGTGTCTACTGGTTGTTTAGTCTATGCTGTAGGCAGCAATTTCTTTGTGTGACATTATTTATCCTGCATGGGGTTGCTTTTCCCTCCTGTTGGATCTCCCTTGTTTTGGGCGTTCTTTCATTCAGTCATCATACTTATTGATCTCCTGTTGTATGCACAGAACAGCAATATAGCACAGTGGAGGAAATAAGAGGGGGATTAAATAGACTCTCTCTGTCATAATCCAGGTCAGGCAGGCAAGGTTAATGTCCATGATTAGCAAATATGTATGAGAGTGAGGCAGGCTCTGGCAAGTTTGATGACTGAATCGCAGAGTGCTAAGAAGGCTGTCACAGGGGGACTTAGTGACATAGCACACAAATTTCTCAGTTCCCTGGAGTCCCTTGGAGCCACCCTAGGCACGTGAAGCAAGTCAGGCATAGACGTTGTAACATAAACACACCTTGACTAGAATCGCCTCTTGCCCTCTGTGTAACCTTGTAATCTTGGAAAAACCTTCACTTAGTGTTTTGTTTTGTTGTATGCATGTATGTGCATGCACGTGGGCATTAAAATACACATAACATGAAATTTATCATCTTAACCATTTTAAGTGAATTAAGTACTTTCAAAATGTGTGCAACTGGCTCGGTGCCTGTAACTCAGCAGCTAGGGCATCTGAGTACACTCAGCGCCACATACACTGGAGCTGGCAGGTTTAAATCCAGCCCTGGCCTGTCAAACAACAATGACAACTGCAACCAAAAAATAGCTGGGCATTGTGGTGGGCGCCTGTAGTCCCGGCTACTTGGGAGGCTGAGGTGAAAGAATTGCTTAAGCCCAAAAGTCTAAGGTTGCTGTAAGCTGTGACACCATAGCACTCTACAGAGGACTACAGCTTAAGACTCTGTCTCAAAAAAAAATGTGGTGCAACTACAGCCACCATCCATCCATCTCCAGAACTCTTTCTCATCTTGCAAAACTGACTCTCCCTGCCCACTAAGCAATCACTCTCCATTTCCCTGTCTCCCCAGCCCTCAGCCTCCATCATTCTACTTCCTGTCTATGAATTGGCTGCTCTGGATCCTAACAGAAGTGGAAACATAGAGTATTTGTCCTTGTGTGGTTGGCTTATGTCACTTAGCATGATGCCTTGACGGTTCATACCTGTCACAGTGTGTCAGAATTCCTTCCTTCCTCAATCTGAACCATATTATGTTGTGTGGATACACCACACGTTGTTCACCCATCCGTCTTTGGGCTGTTTTCACCTTTCAGCTAATGCGATGAACGCTGCTATGAGCACAAATGTACAGACTTCCCTTCAAGACCCCGTTTGCAGTTAGCTTGGATCTATACACAGAAGTGGAATTGCAGGTTCACAAAGTACTTGTCTCTTTACTTTGTTGAGAAGCTGCCATACTGTTTTGCATAGAAGTTGATTGATTTTACATGGTATCTTGGGGTTTCTGCTGTGTAAAGTGGGAGTAGTAGCATGATGACCACGTAAGGTTGCTATGAAGATGGAGCAAATCAGTGTGATGTCCCCAGTGGAGTGGACAGCATACAGTCGGTGCTCGGCACATGCTCACCCACTTTCTGTACCTGCCAAAGCTCCCAGACAAGTGAGGCCATCCTTGCTTCTGGTGCATCAGCTGTTCAGCCGACCTGACCTTGCCCCTTAGGAGTCTTTTGCTATCTGTGTACTGACTTCTCTCCTCCCACCCCCAGGCTGTTGAAGAGCTCCTGCAGACCCTGGACCTGGAGAAGAAGGCGGTCACCGTGGGGCACAGCCAAGTGAGTAGACTTTTCCTTCCGTAAGACATTCTGCCCATCACATCAGGCCCCCAGATGGGACCTAATTCTTGTCCTACCTCAATTTTCCATTATCTCTGTGGTCTCCTTTTTTTTTTTTTTCCTTAAAACTAAAAACAAAGCAAATATTTTCTGCCCTATCTTACAAATCTGTCTATGAAGACAGACAGTCAGCCTAGGAATGGAAATAACATTGAGAAATACCACTGATTAGATTTTACACCCCAGGGACCTCAGGGTTTGGGGCAATGAACATTCTGGTCCTCAATATGAACTTCTGAGCTCAAAAAGAGATGCCATGAAGCCTGGGAAGAAACACTCATCTCCACTCAGAGCCTTTAAACGTCTACTTTGCAGCCAGCTGTAACTCTGCTCTAGTCCTCGCTGAGCAGGAGCCATAAGTGGAAAGAAAGAAGGGCCTCGAGAAGAAGGCCCATGATTATTCAAATTGATAAAAGTAGCTTTCCTCAAACTGCTGTTGAGCCCAAACCTCTTCCAAATCATGCTTACACGTTCAAAGAAGAGTTTCACATTTCCCCAGGATGCTCGTAAATTTTCAAACAGGAAAGCACGGTATTTAGGGATTCTCAAACTATTTGACCATAGAACCCCCACCCCCCAGGCTTTGGTCTCTGTGGAATGCTCATTACCACTGCCTGGAGCTAGTAGTGTTCCATGGGTTATAGTTTGGGAAGTGGGGCACAGAGATTTTAAACTCAAGGATCAAGTAAGTTATGGACAGGGGAAAAGGGACACAGTTTAGAAATCCATATGGGAGAGGGAACAGACAAAAGGAAAAATGATGCTGTCCGTGTCCCCATCTGGTTACCTACTGGTTGATTAATGGCATCCGGGAAGCCCTTGTCAATTGCCTTACATCTTCAGGTGTTATGGGATGGGAGGGGTCCTACTCACCAGAAGCCCGCTGTGGTGGCACTTGGGCAATTTATACTTCATGGAACCTTCCCTAGAAGGGATCCCTCAAAGCAGCCCTTTCCTCTGAGAGCTCACAGCCATTTACGCGGGCCCCGCCCCTCAGCGCACCTGACCTCGCACCTCCCACTGGCCTCACGGTCCTCCTGAGGTGTTGTTAGTCTACTGCGTTCTCAACCTGAATTCTCCCTTTAGGAGGTGCAGCAGCTGGGCCTCTGCTGACTTTTCTAACAGACAGAATAAAGCTCTCAGTTACTGGGCCCACCACGAGCCAGGTACTGTGCTAGGCAATTGCACAATTTCTTCTTCTTTGTTACTGATGATCTTCTCTGAGATAATAGGTATGATCCCACTTCACCGATAAGGAAGCTGCACCTCTGGGACATAACCCACTTCTCAAGGTTTCACAGATAACTAAGGGGACAGACTCCATGCAAACCCGTATATGTGCAAATCGCAGGGTCTTATCTATATAGTGTGATACTAAATGGCAACCCTGTAACCATGGGAATACATTCTAACAAATGCATCATTAGGCAATTTGGATGCATAAACATCACAGAGCAAGTGCACTTACACAAACCTAAGTGGCATAGCCAACTACACAGCTATGATACATGGTACAGCCTAGTGCAATGGGGCCCATTCTTTTTGGCACAAGGGACTGATGTCATGGAAGATAATTTTTCCACAGATGTGGGGAAGGGGGGGTTTCAGGATGATTTGAGCACATTACATTTACAGTGCATTTTATTTCTATTATTATTACATTATAATATATAATGACATAATTATACAGCTCACAATAAGGCAGAACCAGTGGGAGCCCTGAGCTGCTTCTGCTGCAACTAGATGGTCCTGTGCTGTATTTGCAGCCACTCCCCAGCCCTAGCGTCACCACCTTCATCTCCACCCCAGATCCTCAGGCATTAGATTCTCACGTGGAGCACATGACCTAGCGCCCACACATGCTCACTTTATAGTCGATTTCCCACTCGTATGAGAACCTCATGCTGCTGCTGCTCTGACAGGACGCAGCGCTCAGGTGGTGATGTGAGTGATGGGGAGCGGCTGTAATACAGACCAAGCTTCGCTGGCTTGCTCACCTCCCGCTGTGAGACCTGGCTCCTAACAGGCCATGGACTGGTACTGGTGCATGGCCCGGGGCTTGGGGACTGCAGTGTAGCCCATTGCTCCAAGGCTACAAACGGGCACAGTGTGTTACTGTACTGAATACTTAAGGCAACTATAACACAACGGTTACTATTTGTGCATCTAAACATAGACAAGGAACAGTAAATATGATACTGTGATCTTACGGGACTACCGTCATGGAGGGGGCTCATTGTTGACTGAAATGTGCTTTTGCAGCACATGACTGTATACAACACATTCTTCACATACAGGTCTTGATGGGTCCAAAGCAGGGAAGTTTTTCATGCTTCTAGACCAGCAGTTCTCCAAGTACGGTTCCTAGATGCAGCGGCAGCATTGCCTGAGAGCTTGCCAGAAACACAAACTCTCAGGGTCCATCCCAGAGCTAGTGAATTGGAAACTCCGGAGGTGGAGCCCAGCGGTCTGTGTTCTAGACATGCCTTCTAGGTGATTCCAATGCATGCTCAAGTCTGAGAACCATTGGTCTAGATGATTGCTCAGTCATTTCATGAATACAAAAGTCTGTCCCTGTGATCCCAGCAGCTATCACAGAGCAAGGGAGACAGCAGAAAAGTTGCCAGGCACAGTTTTTACAGTGGTGGGAGTCTGGAAGCCTAAACATGTCTGTAATAAAACGTGATTGAATAATGCTTGGTGTTTACTAAGAAACTGTTAACAGCAAATCGAGATCAATGTATCCTTTTGGAAGCCAGGCAGGAGAGTAGATTGATATAATTTAGGGGCAGTTGCAACATCGTCTGCATTGCAGAGTTTGGTACTTGATGGTTGGGAAGGCTGTGAAGCCCAGTCGAAAAGAGACCTGGCTGCCCTGTCCACACGCAGCCCCCACCCCTTCCTAACTGTCTGAATCTTGTATAAGGGATTTAACGTCACTGAGCCTCAGTTGCCTCATGTATGAAATGGAGTCACCACTTTCTCCCTCCCAGGATGGCTTTAAGGAAATTGTCAGTAAATTGTCATCTAGCAGGGGTTGGCTGCCACCACTTACTGAATACATTTGTCACTGGTGCAAGAAGCTTATCAAGCAGGATAACATTTAATGTTTAAAGAATTAAACTCCTCTAATCTGTTAAATTACTAAGAGGAGAGGAGTTAATTCCTTAGCCATACCAGATATGGGAACTGCCGCCATATCAGATTTTTGAAAACCTCAGCCTTCAGCATTTTTAGAGGAAAAACAGCTTGAATAGTAGTAGCCCCTACAGGTTCCTTAAAGGTGGGGGATTTGGGGATGTTACACTCTGTTTGCAGCAATAGGCAGCTGGATCTGTGAAAAGCAAATAATTTAGATTTTTCTTTGTGATTTTTCAGCCCCTGGCACCTTATCAAGGCTTGTGCTAAGGACCATGGCATTTATGAAAAAGATGTATTCCACATGCACTGGGCCTTCTGGTCAGCAATATGCTCTTAAAAGGCAAAAAAGAAAAATCAAGATAAGATTCTGCAGAGGCAATGACTTATTCCCATTCCGTATATGGTCGTTTCCAATTATCTTTTTAATGAAAGCTTCATACTTAATCAATAGCGGTTTTGGCAGCGCCCGGCGCCTATTGTAATATACGAACTGGTGCTGTCATCACTTCGGTCATTGATTTTTTTTTTTTTTTAATAACCGCTTTTGAGACTCACTAGCTTGTGAAATTAATATAGTCATTATTGAGGCAATCTGACAGGTAATGAGTCAATCGTGTCTTTGTTTCAATGAGACTAATTGTCCTGCTGGCTGGCCCTGGCTGCGGGAGTGTGCTCCGCAAAGCCATGGAGTGTTGCAGAACAGACTCAGTGCTGATTGGTGGTGCTAAGTTTTATTTTCCCACGGAGAAAAGGTTTAGCGGAGGAGAGGCGGAGTAGTCTCTGTTATTGAAAAGAGGTTTAGGGTAATGGAGAATCGACTGAGATCCTTTGTTCCACCAGGAATCAAATTGCAATTGAACCTAAAAATTCAGGGGTTTGTATCCTAACGGATGAGAAAAAGAAGCTTCATGTCAACACTGAGAATGGGTGCAGGAGATGCACCCACGTTCTGGGTTCAAATCTTAGCATTGTTGATAACCGGTTACGTGAACTTGAATCAGTTACAAAACCCACCTGAGTGGATAGATTTCTCCTAGAGCTTCTTCGAATATTACAATAGGATGTGAGAGAAAGAGCTTTGAAAACTGTAGATATCATGCAAATGTTAATTATGCTCAGTGATAACTGTGGTCTTGCCTGGAGTCTGATAGAGGGAAATAAATCCCGGTATTACTACCTGCTAGTGTAGAATCCTGGGCAAGTGCCTTCTTTAGACTCACTTTATCCCTCCGTAAAAGAAGAAAATCAAAACTACCATGTAGGATTATGCGTGTAGAGGACTCTCCCTGCCTAGCAAGTGGGTGTTTCGTCCATTTGCAGAACACAGCAAGTGCTCTGTGAATGTCGGCCGTTAATCGATACGGCCACTGATTAAGATAGATCTCTTTGGTGTCTCCAGAGAAACTGACACTTGGGGGGTAATAAGCCACATGTGACAAAGAAACTCACGGGACTGTCTTTACAAATAAGTAGCCTACGGGCATCAGAGAAGTGACTCCTTTCCTGGCCCTGACTCAAATCCAGCCACCACGATAGCACTTTTCCTTTGCCTCTGTGAAGGTGAGGAAATACACCCCCCAACTGTGGCTCCCCTCCTACCTCAGCTGGAGCAGGCCTGACCCAAAGCCTCTCCAGGTTCCTGCAGAAAATCCTTTACCTCAGACCTCCAGGACTCTCTGCTTTAATCTTTTGCCGACAGTCAGTCCTGGGGTCCTCACTTCCTCATTCCGATCCCCTGCAGTCCATGAGAAGGCGGCCCTGCAGGGTACCGAGGAGACATTGATAAGAGGGCTGCAGAGGGTATCATCCATTATTGATGAGCTTGGCCTGCATCGTGTAGGGAGAGCTGTTTTCTGCTAGCTGCCTGAGCACCTCCATGGGTGGCACCAACCCAGTTCCATCCTCTCTGGACCCAGGAGGGCTGCCCTCACTTTCCCCACAGTCTCCGCACTTTCTTATGAGGTCAGACTGAAGTATGTCTAGGGTATCGCCTTCCTCAGATCACTGGAGCTGCTTCTCAAAAAATACAGATTCCCAAGTCTCATCCCAAACTTAGGAGCCAAACTTTCCTGGGGCAAGGTCTGAGAACCTACATTTACTATACTCCTTGGGTGATTCCAGGACATGTCTGTCCTAGCAGTGGGTCCCACACTGTTGGGCACATGAATCTTCTAAGTATTGTGTTAAAATGCAGGTTTTGATTCAGCAAGTCTGGAGTGAGGTCTGAGATTCTGCATTTCAACCAAGCTCCCAGGCAGCATTGGTACTGCTGGGCCATGAACCACAATGAGCACCCAGGAACTAGAGGAGGAGAAAGAGGATCCCCTAGGAGGCAAAATGCATTGATAATTTAAACTCTCATTGAAAGGCAGTTGTTGGCAAATATTGTGGGTGGATGCTGGGGAACTGGGGTCTGAGTTGCATGCACCTCCTGTTCCGTTCCAGACACTGATTTAGCAGAGGAGTCACTTACCGCCTTCCTTCCTACCAGGTTTTCCTCAAGGCGGGCGTGGTCTCCAGGCTTGAGAAGCAGCGAGAGAAGCTGGTGTCTCACAGCATCGTTCTCTTCCAGGCAGCTTGCAAGGGCTTTCTGTCCCGCCAGGAATTCAAGAAGCTGAAGGTACTACACACCATTAACATGCAGATCTGACCCAATGGGGCTGGAGTGAGCAGAGGGTCTGCATGCCCCAGGGCTGCCAGTCCAAGGACCACACCCATCTGTGAGACCTTAAGTGATGCTTTGCAAGATGCTATGATTGTCTATGGGACATTGACATCAAATTATGAAGGACGTTTCCTTGCACTATGCATCATGAAGTTGTCCAAGCCCTCCTGGGCTGATTCATGATTTCAACCTGTCCCATCTCTGGAGGAATTTACTTTCATGGGTCACCAGATAGGACCAGTGCACCAGGTCCTGGCCACTGAGGTCTCTGGGGACCAAAGTGCAATTTGATCCTGTGGTCCTGAGCCATTCTGGGTCATCACCTTTAGAGATCTCTGTAGACTGAATTTTTTCTCTGTAGCCTGCACAAGAGACCGCATGGCCCTGGGGACAAATGATGTATATGTTTGAATCCCACTTCTACCTCTTAATAGCTAAGTGGAGGTGAAACGAGATAATGTGTACTTAATACAGTGTGTGGCATGCAGCAATTGCTCAATAAATATGACCTATCGTTACCATAGTATTGTTATTCTTAGTTACTGCTACTATTAGGATGAAGTCTTATTACATGCTCCTCTAATTTATATGAATTTGTGAACTCAAGTATATGTCCTTGGTCAAAACAGAGAAAGGTGAGAACATGAATAATTAAACCATTGTGGGCAACCGAACTGGGCTTCTGCACTCCACTAGATTAGGGGTTGGGATGATTTGGAATAGAGGTTAAGAATCTGGTCTCTACAGCTTGTCTGGAAGGGGTTCAAATCTGCTCTGCCACTGAGAAGCCAGATGATGTGGGGCCATGTGACTTTACCTCGCTACACTCAGCTTCCCCAGCTGTAAAATGGAGAAATAATAATAATAACATTTACCTTCCTAGGACTATAATGAGGACTGAGTGGAAGTCTGCAAGAAGCTCAGGGCTGTGCCTGGCATGCAGGAAGCACCATACCAGCTGCACAAGCTTGGCTAAGTGACAGTGATGAGAGAAGACCATTTTCCTTTTTCAGTGTGGTTCTAGAACCCATCTGTGATAAGAATGAATGGGTCAGGCTCAGCGCCTGTGGCTCAAGTGGCTAAGGCGCCAGCCACGTACACCTGAGCTGGCGGGTTCGAATCCAGCCCAGGCCCACCAAACAACAATGCTGGCTACAACCAAAAAACAGCCAGGCATTGTGGCAGGCACCTGTAGTCCCAGCTACTTGGGAGGCAGAGGCAGGAGAATCACTTGAGCCCAGGAATTGGAGGTTGCTGTGAGCTGTGATGCGACAGCACTCTACCCAGGGTGACAGCTTGAGGCTCTGTCTTAAAAAAAAAAAAAAGAATGGGTCAGTGCTTCTCAAAGTGCAGTCCTCTGACGAGCAGCACCAGCATCTCCTGGGATTTGTTAGCAAGGCACATTCTCAGGCCCTGCTCCAGTGCCAGACTAGCTTCATCAGACCCCCGGAGTGCAGTCCGGCAGTGTGTGTTTTAACAAGTCCCTCAGGGGATTCTGGTGCACACTCAAGTTTGAGAAGCATAGGATTAGTGTTTAAGTGTGCTTAAAAAAAAATCTGTCCCCTTAATATAAGCTAACAACATTATCTTGGACATTGTTTCCTGTGGGCAATTTTAGGAATTTTTCAAGGAAAATTTTTGCCTTGCATAGTGACTTTTAGACCTAATCTTCAGCAGACAGCCTTATATTATGTTATACAATACCTTTTGTCCCTTCTTCTATTATCATTATTGCTACTATCTGCCCACGTCAGACTAAATTACGACAAAGAGCCCGATGCAGAGAGGCTTGACATATCAGGACTCCATGAAATGAAGCCTTTTTTCTTTAAAGTTATCCATTCCTTTCTCCAGGAATCGTGGAAACTGCTTCCTTCAGGCCTTTGCTACCCTTTCCCCTTATACATTGTTCCCCTTCGCTTGAGTTGGGAAGGACTCCTCCCATTTCGGTTTCTCTTCCCCTGTAGATTCGCCGACTGGCTGCTGGATGCATCCAGAAGAATGTGGCTGTGTTCCTGGCGGTCAAGGACTGGCCATGGTGGCAGCTCCTTGGTTCCCTCCGGCCCCTACTGAGTGCCACCATCGGGAATGAGCAGCTCCGAGCCAAAGAGGTCAGTCCGTGCAGCAGGAAGGGCTCCAAGTGGGTACCGCCTCCTACCACCCCATCTTGGTGCTTGGGTCATTGAGCCAGTGCCTTTACCCCTGAAAATTTTGGATCTAGGAATGTTCAACCCAACATCCTCTGTTACCTCCTCCAGATAATCCTCTGAGATATTACAGTTACGTTAAAGCACTGGCAGAAAAGTAATCCTTGGGAAGATGAAGTGCTGAGTGCACACTCCACATTCAGGTGTGCCCAGTCTCAGATGGCCCCTTCTGGGGATTTGCATTCAGTCTCTTCTGGACTAGGTTCAGTTGAACCTGAATTGTGAGAGCAGAGATGTTGATATTCAAAATGATGGGAGATAAAATGTCGTGGGAACTTAGCATCTGGACCCCAACATAAATATCCTGGCTGAGTCACTGATTCCGTTATCCAGCCACTCTGTTTTAAATTTTATTGTTAATGGAAAAATAATAAGTGCATATATTATGTGGTATGATGTGATGCTCTGATACACTTGGAATGATTAAAGCAGCCTACTTGGAGAATCCATCACTTCACAGACTTATCTTTGGTATGTGGTAAAAACATTTAAAATCCACTTTTTTAAAAAAACAATTTTGACATATACAATGCATTGTTATTTATTACAGTCACCATTCTGTGCAATAGATCCTTAAAACGTGTTTATTTTCTCTAAACAAAACTTTGTATCCTTTGTTCACTGTTAACACAAGTGGAAGGTACATCTCTGGCTCAGAATGGCTTCTGTTAAAGTGTTTGTTTTTGTAGGAGGAGCTAAGGGTGTTGAGACAGAAACTAGACAAAGCAGAGAAGTCCCGGAGTGAACTCCGGCAGAACGCAGACCTGCTGGAGAGCAAGGTATCACAACTTTCCTCTTTGGTCCCTGGGTGGGGTGTCTCTGTATGTGAGGTCTGTTGAAGGGAGGGAATGATGATGCCCTTGGCACCATGCTAATTGTTTTACAAACACCCTCAAAATTACCGGTGAGGTATGTGCTGCTATTGTATTTTGTGGAGGAGGAAACTGAGGCCCTGGGATACTAGGTATCTTTGTAAGGCCATGGAACTAGCAAATGTAGAACTGGGATTAAAACTCATGCCATCTGGTTCCAAAGGGAAGAATTTCTTAAATGAATCACAAAGTACAGATCATAGCGGGAATGATAATTTTGACTATATTAAGATAATAAACTATTTATCAAAGCATAAAATGAAGACACTCTACATACTTGGAGTTAAAATTTGCAACATAGCAAAGAATATGTAAAGAGCTTCCACAAATCAATTAGACAAACACTCCAAAAGAGAAAAATAATGTGTAAGCAGAAAATATGAATGCGGTTCCCAAGGAAGGAACTCTTGTTTCAAGAGTTCAAATGTTCTGGCTCAGCATCTGTAGTACAGTGGTTACGGTGCCAGCTGTATCTTTGGTAACATACACTGAGGCTGGTGGGTTCAAACCCAGCCGGGGCCAGCTAAACAACAATGACAACTGCAACAAAAAAATAGCTGGACATTGTGGCAGGTGCCTGTAGTCCCAGCTACTTGAGAGACTGAGGCAAGAGAATCACTTCAGCCCAAGAGTTTGAGGTTGCTATGAGCTGCAACGCCACAACATTCTACTGAGGGCAATATAGTGAGACTCTGCCTCAAAAAATGAGTTCAAATGTTCAGAAATTCTTTCAAAATGCAGTGGAAAGTTTTAACAATAAAGTAGACTAAGGAAAAGAAAGAATTTCAGAG